TTGCAGTCTCTGAGTACTCTCTTATCTTCCTGAAAACTGTAAGGACTCTGTCACTGCTTAAGTCCTGTGGGTCTTAACTGTCTTCCCCTCAGTGGGAATAATTTTGACCCTTTCCATGCCACATGATGATGGGAAGGCACTGGGCAAAGCTGAAGTAGTCGCTTAGGGTGCCCACATAGGAGGCCTCTGGATCCTTGTAAGAATAGTTCCAGTACAGCGCAGTCACATCCTACAGCCCCCAATGTGAATGCCATAAGTGGGACCAGACACCATATGTGATCAGGGAGAGTTCCAGCAGCTGAACCCTATGATCCTGGTCCTGCTGTTTAAAAGGCTTACAAATAAGTCCACAGAAAGCTGGGCCAAAGCACAACAGATATTGGGCCCCTAGAGCTTTCTTCTTTCTCTTTCTCTTCCTCCTTCCTCTTCCTAAATTACCTTAGCCCTCTGAATCAGTGCTAGAGTCACTATAACTGCATTAGCCGCTCCGGAAGCTATCCTGTAGGCAGCTCATGAGGGCAAAAGCTAAGAACGTTGACCAGCCTGACACCCAAGGTGCCCACACTCTGCCTCCCATGAGGTGTCTGGACTTGGATAGAGCTGTGCAGAGGATACACTGCCCACAAAGAAAATGTGAAAGGAAAATTCCCACTCCTCTCCTCAACCTATACTATAAATTCCCACTCCTCTCCTCAACCTATACTATAAATTTCCACTCCTCTCCTCAACCTATACTATAAATTTCCACTCCTCTCCTCAACCTGTACTATAGAGATCACCTCTGGGCTCAATCAATGTTTGATAAATACAAGAATGAACTAATAACTCACCCTGTGCTGAGAGGGGATCATGCCCACAAAAATTCTTGATAATCTTAATATATACAGCAATTGTTTTGTTGGCTACAATCTTCTGTCTTGTTTCTCTCTCCCAAGAAGAACAAATGAGACTGCTGAAGGTTCATAGACATTGATTAAAAATGTACGCAAAGATTTAGACAGGAAAATGTTTATGAGCTGTCAATTATAGCAGAAATTTGGAAACAACCTAAATACCCAATACTAGAGGATTGTTTCACTACATTATGGTACAGCCATACAATAGAATGTTGTGCAGCTATTCCAAATCGTTTTGTCAAAAAGTAGATGGAATGATGTTCAGAACATACTATTAAAAGGAAAAAGCAAGCTAAAAAAGGAGAATGCCATTCACAGAAAGAGGGAAATTATTCAGAAGATGTATTAACAGTTATTGCAACTGATGGAATTATGAATGGATTTTTAATTTTTTGACAGTGATACTTTTGAAATAAGGGCTGAAGAACAATAAAAGCTTGTTTTTGCTAACCAGGAAAAAAAAATAGGAAAAGCCCCCTCTTTCAAGGCCATCTTCCGGCACCTCATTCTACCAGATGGATATGAAGCCAGTTCAGACACCACTGTCCAGCTTGCCGAGAGCCCCATGAAGGCCCTCTTGCTCTGGGCAGAAGCTTCCTTCCTTGATGCCAGCATCCACCTTAAGACAAGTTATTTAAAATGGGGCTGTCCTGGCCAACCTCTCATCTCAAAATACCAAGGGCTGCTTCAGCCTAGAAAACAATGGCAGTTCCAGATCTCTGTGGGGTTTTGAAGCAGAGTGACAGCCCTAGCATGTGAGAGGAACCTCCTCCCCTCTCCAGGCTGCTTGCCCAAAGGTTTACAGACAGCTCCCTTTCCATCCCACAAGAGGAGACAGGCAGATGAGTCATAGCACTGGCTTAGATTAAAGAGTATTATTGTGTTAGCAGAAATGGATCTATTTTATTATCTATTTCTTGACACCTTACAAGTAGATAGGCTTCTCCCACCAGACAGGCAAGATCCTTAAAAAACCAACGACTTGGTTAGCTAAAACTAAGGAATGACCAGTAAGAGTTAGAAACTTGTGTGTCTGAAATGCAGCCAGGCTGTAAAGATGTAGTGGAAACACTGAGGAAAGTGGTTTCTAAGCCTCAGAATCTAGATTCAAGTCTGCAAAGTGATGCCATTTGTCTAAAAATATACAGAGGAACTACGGAAATCCTTTCCTCTTTTCTAAGAGCTTCTTCTTTCCTTCTCTCTTTTTAAAGAAATATAGTAGGACTGGTTTGTAAAAGAGATTCATCAACTCAGATTTCACTGTTTTTGTGGGGGTGATGGCCATGAGATACTATTTTAAGGACTTCCTTCTCTTATACAGATTTTCCACACTGGGAGGACAGATAAGGTATGTTCCACTAAAGTTCCTCATTAAACACATATGCATGCCAGCAGTCATTTCCCTTTGTCTTGCTATTCCATGACAACAGATTGCATATCATAGGAAATTGGAATGGAGACCTTATTTAGTTTGGATCTCTCTTCTCCATTGTTTAATTCCACATTCAATTTTTCATTCTGTCTGCCTCTTTTTTTGCAAAAATATACTATGATTGAACATAGGAACAGATAAACGAATAGGTGTTGTTTTTCTGAAGACTCACATCATAGACTTTCCAAAAGCACTTTGACCAGCAGCTCCATTCCCAGCATTTCACCTCTGGGCTGAAATGTACTCATTATTCAGTAAAGATCCAATGACTGATGGGCCTCTATGTGTCATAAATGTGTGCTCCCCATACTTGGTTTACTGTTAATCAAGTTCCAGTACTAAGCTTCCCTGGTTTACTGTTAATCAAGTTCCAGTACTGAGCTTCCCTATTTCCTTTATTACCGAGTGGGATTCTGTCTCTCTCACCCTTCAACCCAGACCACCAGTCCATTAAAACAAACAAAAACAGGGGCGCCTGGGTGGCTCAGTTGGTTGGGCATCCGACTTCGGCTCAGGTCATGATCTCACGGTTCGTGGGTTCGAACCCTGCATCAGGCTCTGTGCTGACAGCTGGGTCAGAGCCTGGAGGCTGTTTCGGATTCTGTGTCTCCCTCTCTCTCTGGCACTACCCTGCTCACACTGTCTCTCTCTCAAAAATAAATAAAAAACATTTTTAAAAAGTTTTAAAAAAACAAACAAAAACAAAACAAAACAAAAAAATCTTCTACCAAATGCCAGGAAAGGAGATCTAAGGGAACAGAGAAAGTTTCACATTTCCTATTGTTGGATGAAGGCTTGGCCTTCAGAGGAAGCTGGATGTCTTTCCAATTCAGTATGTTCTGTTCCCTGATGCTACCATCATTGTTTTTCCTTAGAATCCAAAGCTTTGATGGAAAACTTTTTAAATGATCCCAGCTATTTACTTTTTGAGTATCAACTTTTACACAAATATTGCTGATACTTTTTTCTTTTCATTTAAAAATGTGATGTTAAAATATTTTTTTTTCTAAATAGGATCCATTAGATCTAAGAAGTAATGTTCTTTCCATTTACCAAACATTAGCTGTGTGCCAGGCATTGAGTAATAGCTTCCACACACATTATTTCATTTACCCCTTTACAACCATCCTATGAAGGCGATGCCAACACATGAGAAAACTGAAGAAGGTTAAGCCATTTGCCCAAGATCACACATCTAGTATGAAACTCTTTTGACTATTCCATTCCAACTTTTGTCAACTAAAGTCCTAAGTCTGGCCCTCTAGAAAATGTTTTCTGAGGACACAAAGTAGAAGAACTGTATTTGTACTCTGTAAAGCCCATACCTTCACTAAAGGAAGCAGTCCTCAAGCAACCAACAGGCCAAACTCACTTGTGACACTATACCTCATCAGTTAGGAGCCCGTCTGGACATCAGATAAGCCTAATTTCAAGTCCCAGCCCACCTACTTACTGGACCTGAGACCACAAGAAAGTTATCTACTTTCCCTAAAATTCAATTTCCGTTTCTATAAAATGAGGATAATAACACAGGTCGAATTCTACTAAATGACCAACTTTCGGCTATTTTCGAACCTCCAAAAAAGCATGTGCAAGTGGCTTAACCAAACTCTCCACTGGCTCACTGTGCTGATTAAACAAGTGCACATAGGAAACAATTAAACGGCGTTTTTTTTAGTAGACTTGCTCTTCCTCGTTCCATTTTGCTCAAGTCAATAAAGTTAGTTTTCATTCTTTGTGGCACTTTATATACAGGGAAGCCGACCTGAGGTTACGTTAAGTGTTGGAGCCTGTAATTCAGGGAGACAGTAAGACTGCGTGGACGACTAGAATTAACAACCAACGATCTCCTGAGGCCTTACTGCTCCTGCTCAGGGCGTTTTCCCTAGTATGGTAGTTCTCTTAGTGACGAAGTAAATGCGCAAATACCTCTTTAGAAAGTGAAAGGGTAGGGATATTGAGGAGGTGGAGCGCTCCGTGTTGAGGAGAAGGACAAGGTTTCAAACGCCGTTCTTGGCCCCTGTCGACCGCGCGAAGTGGCGAACCGGGGCCGGCAGGGCGTGTCCGCGCGCGCGCCGCTCCCAGCGCCCGCCTCGCGCCGCCACCGCCCCGCCCGCCCCGCCCACGCGGGGGAGCCGCGCTGCCGGAGCGAGCGTACCTGCCCAACGCCGTTCGCTTCCTCGCCAGGTGCCAGGCCCCGCTCTCAGCTCCTCACGTTCATTAGCTTATTTACGTCCCCACCACATTCCCGACAGAAAGCAACTGTCATTTCCCCATTTGCCAAGTGAGGAAACAGCTCAGAGCGATTGAATCTCTCGTCCAAGGTCTCCGGGGGAGTGGGCTCGAACCCGGGCAACCCTAGGACTCCCACACGGAACCTCCCCTTCTCCTTACTGGGTAGAGGCGTTTTCTCGCCTCAAAATCCTCCCAGCTTGGCCACCCGCAAGAAACTGCGCTCGGCTTCGCCGACCCGAAAGACCTAGCAGCGCTCCTCAAGTGTAGGGCGCGGGGCGCGTGTAGGAGGAGCAGCACCTCCCCCGGGGTATTTAAGCCCCGTCTGGAACCCGCGGGGCCGGACGCTCCCGCTCCTCCCTGCTCGAGCCTCCCCTCCCCCTCCCCCTCCCCCTCCCAGTCTCTTCCCCGCGCGCTCCCACCCTCCGCCCCGCGCTCGCCTCGCGCGCAGGCACCGGCCGGCGGCCGCGGGGAGCGGGACGCGGGCGGCGCTCGCCTCTGCGGAGTCGCCCCCGGGCCGCGGCCGCCGCGCATTGCCCGTCCGGCGCCGCCAGGGCTGCAGCCGCCAGGCTGCCGGCACAGAGTGCGCCGCGGCAGCCGGAGCCGGGACACCCACCCCGAGCGTCCCGCAGACGGGAGGGCGGGCGGCTGCGGACGTCCGGCCGGCAGCTGGCAGCATGGATTCGGATTCTGGCGAGCAGAGCGAGGGCGAGCCGGTGACCGCCGCAGGTACCGAGGGGACGCGGCAGCCCAGCCCGGAGGGCCGGGGCCGGGAGGAGGGGAGGCTGGGGCAGGAAATCGCGAGTATTTCTCCGAGCTGCCGGGCGCGAGGCCGATCCCTTCCAGGCCGGGACTGGGGATTGCTCCGCGCTGTGAGTTTGCTGTAAGGCTTTCTCCCTCACTGCACTTGGGGACGCGGACGGAAGAAGAGGTGCATCTGGTGCGGGTCACTCTCCGCGCAGCTGCGTCCCGCTGCGGGCTCGGGTCGCCCGCCTGCGGGGGGGGGGGGGAAGGGCTCGGGAAATCTGCGTCCTGTAGTTTGCTGCAGCGAGGGTCGCAACACATCTGCCCTTTGAAAGAACTTTCCGAGCGCCCACTCGGTCCTCGAACCCGGGGTGCCAGGGACGCTGCGGAACAGGTGACCTGGTCCGAGGGCGCGACAGGGGACTCCCGGAAAGAAAGGACCCGCGGGTGGACGGGCAGGAGTCAGACCACAGCTAGTGGTTGCGGTTCCCGAGCCTGCACTAGCTGTGCAGACGGGTTCGTCCATCGCTGTCCCGCACCGGCGGGAGGGGTCCGGGAACACAACCGCGGGGGCGCGCGGGGAGCAGGGCTTCGCCATTAAGAGGCGCCGCCGGCTTTTCACAATCGATAGTTATCGAAGCAATGGGTGGATTCTTACTTTGGAAAAAATGAATGTCCGCCCCCGCCTCTCTCTGATACTGAGCAACAGGAGGAAGCCACCCACAGCCTTGGGTCGACTTAACCGCTGGGCTCTGCCCACCTCCACCGGCCGGCTCCGCCCAGCCTCCCACGGGTCCACGCACCGGAGACCTGATCACCCTCTCCACCTGTCGGTGGCTCGCGGCACCCGCAGAGCCCTGAAAGCCGCGCCGGCCGGCACACCTGTGACCTGAGAGCTGAGACCCTCCTGTTACAGACCCGAAGTCGTAGACTAGACCCTACTTTTCCCTATGTCAGACCAGCATCCTGAGAGTGAGGACCAAGTGCCAGGAGGCACTATCAGCCCAGGCGTGGGTGTAGGAAAGGCAGGCTCAGGAACCAGGCAAGACAGCGCCAGGCGCTGTGCCAAAGGCGCTACGTGTATTATTCCCCTTCATCCTCGCAGCATCTAGCCAGGTGGTTATTATCTCCATTTTACAGAGGTCCAGAGAGGCTAAGTGGCTTGCCCACGTCTCACAGCAGGGAGTAGCCAAGGACAGAATGATTCCCTTCCCACTGCATCATATTCCTCAACCTTTCACAGGGCAGCTGTTGTCAACACCTTTGGGTGGGTGGAAAGAGTTTAGGCTGGCAAAGAGAAAAGGCGGCATTACCAAGATGCCTGTGTGTGAGGATTCCTGTGTGTGTGTGTGTGTGTGTGTGTGTGTGTGTGTGTGTGTACGCGCGCGCAAGGGCCGCCTCCTTTGTGTAGGCATATGTGGATATAACCAATAAACATGAGCCTTCTGCTACCTCTCTTCTTCTGTGGCTATGAAGCACCAAGATTTTGTTTCACAGGGGAGCTTGTGGATCTCCTCACATCATTTTAAAGTTTCAGTGGGTGTTTGTAGGGGCGCCTGGGTGGCTTAGTCGGTTGAGCGTCCGACTTTCGCTTAGGTCATGATCTCAAGATTCGTGGGTTCGAGCCCCGGGTCGGGCTCTGTGCTGACTGCCAGCTTAGAGCCTGGAGCCTGTTTCAGAGTCTGTGACTCCCTCTCTCTCTCTGACCCTCCCCTGCTCACTCTGTCTTTCTCTCTCTCTCTCCTAGAAATAAATAAAACATTAAAAAAAATAAAAATAAAGTTTCAGTGGGTGTTTGTATGTATCTAAATATATCTGGAAAGCTGGGGGTGGGGGGCACTGACTTTGACAGCTTACTGTCTCAAAATCCCAGGAACTAACATGCTCTCCCCACCCTACCCTCAGATCTCTTGTGCACGTTGATGTTGAAGGGAAGGAGAAGGAAGCTTAGAGAAAGAAGAGGGAGAAGGGGAGGGAGGAGACACTTCAGAAGAGTTGGTGCTTGAGTGAAAGGGGAGGGAAGGAATTCTTAAGGGTCCAGTTGCTTCTCCCCTCCCCCCAGCCTGCCCAGCCCAGAGTACCCCAGATGCGTGTGTTGTGTCAGGTCTCTGCACTGCTAGCAGCAAACTTTACCATTGGATCAGATGGGTCCCCTGAAGAATAGGACAGCCAACTCTGTGAGCTGTCACCATTCGTTTGCACCTTGCTGTTTTCTACAGTCACTTCTTTTTTTGTGTGCTTGAATCTCCCAAGTTGAACATTTATTTGAATATCACAAGCTATTCTGCTAAATGGCATTCCATCTCATTATTCTCAGTCTTAAAGTATTCTTCTTCGTGACAAAGCTTCGAAACTAGATGCTAATTCATTGCCTTGCTGTCGCTGCATCCTGTCAAATGGAAACCCTTGCTGAAGCTTCAGATACAGGTTAAATGTTAGATATGTTATCCGCCGGGGTTGACCTTTGTCTCTCTATGAGGAATGAGGCCTTCATCTGTGGACCTGTACCTGTGCAAGCTGGATGAGTTTGCAACATAGGACAGCAGAGGAAATAGGACTTCTTGGAGTATTCGTGTGTGTGTCTACATGTGTTGAGATGTAAAGGCTGCTTCCTCCCCAATGGCCTTCCCTTCTGGAACTTGTGAAAAATCCCTGTGAGATGTGCCTTATTAAGGTCAAGAGCCTTGACTCTGGAATCAGAAAGACCTAGGTTTCATTCTCTACCTTTTGGGCAAGTTATTTAACATCTCCAAACCTGTTTCCCCCTCTGTAAAATGGGGATGACAATAGTACCACAAGGAAAATTAAATAAAATATTACATGAAGGTGCGCCTGAGTGTCTCAGTCACTTAAGTATCCGACTCTTGATTTTGGCTTAGGTCATGATCTCATGGTTTGGTTTGTGTGTTCAGTCCCATTGTAGGGCTCTGCACTTACCAGAGCCTGCTTGGGATTCTCTCCTCTCTCTCTCTCTCTCTCTCTCTCTCTCTCTCTCCCTCCCTCACTCCCTCCCCCTCTCCCTCTGCCCTTTCCCTGCATGCACACACACTCTCTCTCAAAATAAACTTTTTTAAAATACCACATGAAAAGTGTTCCTGGTAATCATTCAGTAAATGGCAGCCACTATTTTGATTATCACTTGATTAGATTATTGTAAGAATACTGCTAAATAATGTACTCCAGTGCTTTGTAAAATGTAAACTATTAGGCATGTGTAAAACAATTAGTATTGTTGGCATTATTATCACATTAATATAATTGCCTGAGCAGATTTGTTTTGAATTTTCTCTTTTTCATTCTTTCATTCTCTCTGGTGTGTGTGTGTGTGTGTGTGTGTGTGTGTGTGTGTGTGTGTGTGTGTTTGCTTACTGGTTTTGGGTGGAGTTTATCTTTAATTTACCTCTTCTTATCCTCCTCATCTTTAAAGCTCAAGACACGAAGATGGGGACATTCAAGATACTACTTTCACCCCCCTTTTCCTCTGGCTCTAGGTAAAGTTGTATAAAGCAGAGGACTCTTTACCCAATCCACTGGCTAATGTGGAGATTAGCCACTTTCATGCCACTTGAAATAGAAGAGGAGATAACCATTCCAACAGTGAACCTTTTTCCTTCAAGGTAGCAAGAGGCAGAATAGGTCCTTGCCTACGGTTAGGGTTAGGGTTAGGGTTAGGGTTATTCTCCTTTCCATTTTGGGAAAGTCACCTTCCCAGTTACAGATAGGCAGAAGAGTGAGAAAATCTCTGAGGACCACATACTTTTTACTGTACCCCTTGTAAGAGAGTTTTCTAAAGCTCTCCCCAGTGCCTGCTGTGCAGACTCCTCACCAAGCAATGCAGTGCTCTACATAAGAGGGTGAAAGGGAGAGATGAGATTTGTCTCAAACTGCATTTTCTGTGTTTCAAGAAGCACAGGATGATACTTCTATGTCATTCAGCTGCCTGAAACTCTTACCCCGCCTTTCTTTCATTTTGGGATCTTTCTATGCTTAGGAAAGAGGCAGGGTTTATGGAACATTGGATTCATTCCAGAGACCCAACTTCGCAGTCTGTGGTTTGGCAAACCCACCATCCATCTCTCAGAAATCCTAGTACTTGGTATATTAACTCAGCAGTGATTAAGAGTCTTTCCTAAGAAGCAACAAGCGAGTAAACATTAGTGGTGTCAGCTTTTTCCCTTTCTGGCTTGTAAGACCAAGATAGTCTTACAAGACTGTCCCGCTGAGGACAGACCAGCTCCTTCCACCCACAGCTAGATGGGCCGTCAAGCTGGTGAGGCTTCTTTGCAGCTGTGTAGGTGCTACAGAGAAACATGTCTACACAGTGGAGTCAGGATGTGCTAGGGGAGTATCAAGACAGTGATTGAAATGAGAAAACATCAGGCCCCCAACTTTGTCTGCCATCCTTCTCATCACCTTTGTCCTAAGCGTGGTCTTTGTGAATAAAGTGGCAAGGAGTGGGTAGGATTCAATAGGTGGCCAAGAGGAGGAAAGGCATTCCAGAAGTCACACACCACTTGAACAAAGGCACAAACAGGAAGGTGGGTGGAGTGAAGGGCCTATACTAGGGAGTACTGGAAAATAAAGTTATATGAGTGAGGGAAGGGCCACATAGAAGAGGGTCTTAATAACCTGATCCTGATGGTGCCAGAGGCACGCCTGTCGAGCTGATGGTTGTGCAGAGATATGACTGACTGAAAGTGGGGTTTTCGGGAGCCACATTTGATAGACGTGAAGTGCAAGGACTGCCTAGGCTTGAAGCCTCAGCTAGCAGGGGTGACCAGAGTATTGGAGGAGGTTGTGGCTCTAACGCGAGGCAGAGAGCAAGGAGGCCAGTGCCATGTCAGAGAAACAAACAACAGACACCGCTGACAGATTGTACAAAAGCAGTGAAAGGAAAGGGGGAGTGAAAGGCTAGTGCTTTGACTTGGGGTGAGGGCAGGGAAATCCAGGAGATGGGCTCCCCAGCCCAGGCTTCCAAGCCCCCA